ATCAACAAGACAAACTGAGGTGACAAGCTGGCCCCTCTGTGACAGAAGGGCTTCTAAGATGTGTGTAGAGAGAGGCCCTCTGTGAAAGACGGGCTCCTCCAACAAGCCCATCTGTGAGAGAAGGGCTCGTCATCTTGTCTTCCCTCACTTTGCTCCTCGCGCTCCCGCCCCCCTCTGTGTCTCGTGCTGGTGTTGTCCTCTGTTCCCGTCCTGCTGCACTGTCGCCCCGCCGCCCAGGCGGGGCTGCGCTTCGAGAGTCGTGGATTGAGACCTTTTGACGCCGAGGGAGGTCGAGGATCGAGGAAGCAGCTCGAGGCTCGAGGCTCCATCTTTGGACGTTCTCGGACCTTCCGGCCCTCCGGAGGCCTCCTGCCTCTGCACACGCCGCCAAGGCGGGGTCCGAGCGGGTGCGGCCGAAGTGATCGCCCCGCATTGCCCGCGTTGTGCCGACTCGGCGGCCTCGCTCGGGCGGGCGTGTCTTTTGGTTGCTGTGCTGAGGGTCGGGGCCCGATCGCAGCCGATGTGTTTCACTACCCACGAAGCCACCCCAGCCCAACCCGAAGGCCTCCATCGGCCTCCATTTCCAGTGGGGGGGGGGTCGGGGAAAATTGAAACAACACATGGGGCCCGTAATTACCCCCTTCAATGCGAAATTCGGGTCGAAGTCGGGTCTTCGGGTTTGGTTGGGGTGGGATGGGCTGGTAGGTGGTAATTTTCGGCGACCTGCGCTGTCGTACAGCCGCAATGGCTCGAGGCCCGTTGCCGAACGATCCGCTCGGAGCCAGAAGCCAGCGCCGACGTCGTCGCGACGTGAGCTCGCCGCACGCGCAGGCGTGCGCACGCAGCTCTGGCTGGCCCTGGTGGTTCCAAGGCAGCCTCGGCACCGCCGGAGGTGATCCCTGGCCGCCGCTTCGGAGTCGGGTCCGTGGACCTCGGGGGGAGTAGTGGCGGATCTAAGGTATACCTCGCCACTGAGGGCGGGGGGGTGTCCACACCCACCGCTTCCCTCCAGGGAGGTCGGATTCATCACCGGCGCTGGTAGGTCCGTAGTCGAAAGCGGGCCAGATCCCGCTCAGCCCCGGTGTATCGATTCCGCCAGATCCCGCAAAATACGGTTTCACAGGGCCTTGTCTCCTGGGTTTTTACGTAGGGTCCGGCTTCATGGCCCCATCGGGCCCAACAGCCCGTAATCCTTCCCTTGGAGGCCTCTCCAGGAGCTGCCTCCCAGCGCTCCCCTCGCGTCCTGGCTGTGGATTGCGGATGTCCTGGCGGCGCAGCGCCGCCGCCCCGATCCTCGGGGCGCCAGGGGGGTGCCTGGGGCCGCCGCATGGGGCGGCGCGGTGTGTTGAGGCTTCCCCAGGCCACCCTTCGGTGTGTGTTTCTCGGCGGTTCCAAGTCCCAAGGGCGGGGGCGTCCACGAGGGGGTGGGGAGGATGTCATGGCGGGGGGCCACGATGTCTCCCTGAATTTCATGGCCCACTCCCTGAATTTCATGGCCCCCTCCTCCTTCCAGCATATGCCCTGGTCCCCCCCCCTCGTCCGCGCACAAGCCTCCGGCCATGCTTTGCGACCCTTGGACGCCCCCCCTCCTGGCCTGGATGCCCCCGAAGAGATGCGATCCTGGGGGAGGGAGCCCTCAGGACGACGTGCCTCAAACAGAATGCGTAGACCCAGCCTTGGATCCCTTCGGAGCCCCCGTCCTTGATCAGGAGGGGAAAAAAACACACAGACACAATTAATCGTCGATCCCAAGAAAATGTGGGAAAATATGGGAATTGAGCGGGAAGACAAAAACCCAGAAAATATAGGAAAATATAGGTGTATTTATTTGTGTGTCCCAGGGCCCCTTCACTTGAGAACATCCCTGGGGCCCCTTCCAGAGTGCGACAGGTGCGCGACGTGTCGACCGGCGGCGACCCCGCCGCCGGCGTTCCACGTTGCACGCCGCCGGCGTCCCAGAACGGGTAGACGTCAGGGGCAAGGATAGGGGGGGATAGGCACAGGGGGGACGCATCGACCCCCAAGCTCCCATTGATCGCAGATAGGGGCCCGATAACCGCAGAGGGTCGTTAATGATACCCCCCCTCCAAACTCTCGGCGGGGAATAGAAACTCGTCCCTCCTCCTTTTTTTTCTCCCTCCTCCTTCCCCTCCGTCCTCCTTCTCCTCCTTCTCCTCCTCCTCTTCCTCCTCCTCCTTCTCCCCCTCCTCCTCCTCCTCCTCCTCCTCCTCCTCCTCCTCCTCCTCCTCCTCCTCCTCCTCCTCCTCCTCCTCCTCCTCCTCCTCCTCCCCCCCCCAGGCGTTGAGCGATGGGATTTTTGAGCACTTCTCATGACCTCTGATGCATCCGCCGACGAGAATGATTGATTTCCAACTAATGTCGGGGTCCCAATCCGTCAATAAGCTGGCGGATAAACTATTTATTTTCCCATTCTTACCCAAGGGTTTATGAAAGACCCTTTGGAGTTGGCCCCAACATGCCCAGGAAGGTGCGGATTCACTGTCGGAGGCCTATCGCCGATCTATCGGCGATGTATCGCCGATTCCAGGTCGATGCTGCCCCCCCGATGCCTATCGCCCCCCATCGTTGCCCCTCAAGACGTTGAACGATCGGGCGTTTCGGAAGCGGCCAAGCGTTCAAGGCCGAACGATCCCCGCGGTGCCAGGGACCAACGCCGGGGTCGGCACCACGCGAGCCTGCCGCAGACAGAGCAAAACCGATCTGACGGGCCCCTCTGTAAGCAGCGCAAGCAGAGGAAACCCATGCTCGGGGCTCCTTCCCGCGGGGCCCCACCCTGGGAGCCGTCGAGCTCCCGAGGTCGATGCGGCCTCCACCTTGCGAGGTCCTCTCGCAGGCCCGTCCGCGATGCGACCTCCTGCTGGTCGAGGGGGGCGCGTCTTCGCCTGTTCCACTCCGTATTTAGTTTCGGCTTCGGCTAGTTAGTCGCCCCCCTCCCTTACTCCGCCTCCCCTGCCGGTGCTTCCCGTGAGGGCGCACTGTGCGAGCACCGAGAGGGAGCCCCGACGCTGCATGTTCGCACGTGTTTTTTTGTTGTTGTTCGGTTTGCGTTCAGGAGGGAAGAAAACACACAGACACAATTAATCGTCGATTCCCCAGAAAATATGGGAACATATGGGGAATCTGTTTATTTGTGTGTATTTATTTGTGTGTCCCAGGGCCCTTCATGTGTGTTCCCTTCCTCGCCCTGTCTCCCATCCTCGCTCCCCCTCCCCCCTGGCCTTCTGTGCCCGACGATGGCTGGACGTCGCATGCAGTTGTCGCCCCAGTTGGCGAGGCGTTGCGGCAGTGATTTTCTCAGAAGGGGAAAAAACACACAGACACAATTAGTTGTCGATCCCCAGGAAAATGCGAAAATATGGGAAGTGGGGGAGAAGACAAAACCCAGACAATCTGGGAAAATGTGGGGAATCGTTTTATTAGTGTGTATTTTTTTTTTGTGTGTGTGTGTGTTTGTGCGCCCCTTCATTTTCGGAGGTGGATAGATCTCCTACCCTGACACGTCGATTAAGGAATTGGCCGTTTTCAGTTCGCGAGACGGCGCCGCGGCCGTCATCTTTGCGGGTCCGGGTCCGTCGGTTTCGGTCCCAGGCCGTTTCACTAAGGGGAGGTTTACTAAAGGGAGGTTTGTCCACCGCCGAGATTTTGGGTCGCCGCTTCGGCCTGGACGGCACTGCGTTGCATGGTGCAGCATGGGTCTTCACCGTTCTGACTGCGAGTCTCGGGTTGACCCAGAAGGGGGGTCCAGCGACAAGGGGGTGGCGCCACAGGTTTGGTCCAACAGATCTGTGGGGTTGCGGTACATTTGGGGCGCGCAATACACTCCAGGGCGCAATTCTATTGCTGGATTCTCGCGTGCAATGCATTACTTGCAATGCAATGCAATACGATTCTCTGGCGCAGTACATTTGCAATACAATTGCCCCACATCTATTGCACCATCCCCTTCCAGCTGGACCTATGATGTTCCAACCTACTTCAGTCTAGACCACCAGAAAGTATCTCGAGCACCAGAACAAAGAACCGAAATTCGAGGTTTTCACGTGTCTGACCCTGGGAGACTCGTTCGACACTGTCTCGACACCGTTTCGACACTTTTTCGACACTCTTCTGGCTGCCCGGAATTCTTTCTGGGATGCGGTCCTGGAGTACGATAGGGGCAACATCAAGCTGGGCTCCCCTTTTGGGTCACCCAAAGCGTCCCCTCTGTGAGCTGCCCCGCCGTGCTCGTGCTGCGAGGCGGCCCGCGCGCGCGAGCTGCCAGACCGGGCCCCAAGAGGCCCTCCAGGGCTCCCCAGAGGCCCCCAAGAGGGTTCCGCTAGCGCCCCAAGAGGCCCCAAGAGGGCCCCAAGAGGCCGGCCTGGCCCGCCGCGGGGCCCCCCCGGCTGCAGAGCGGGTGCTGCCTCCCGCGGGGGAGCGTGCGGCCGAAGCGCTCCTTTGCGGGCCTTCGCGCCGGCGGGGTCTGGTCCCCCCCGGGCCTCCCCTCGCTCCTCTGCAGGGGGTGTTCGGCGGAAGGTTCACATGGGGTTCTCTGTCTGCTCGTCTGCTCCCGATTTTGTAGGGGGAAGGTCGGGGGCGGAAAAGAGGGCCGGGCGGGGGGGGAATATCACGGCGGGGGCCATGATATTTCCCCAGAATTCATTGCGCATGGCTGGAGGGGATATCATGGCGGGGGCCATGGTATTTGCCCTGATTTCATGGCGCCTCCTCTTATTTCAATGCGTTCCCTGGGCTTCCTCCCTGGGCCGCGCACATGCCGCCGGTCATGATTTGCACCCCCCCCCTTTTGGACACCCCCCTCTTGGCCGCCCCCGAGAAGGCCCCAGGGCCCATGACCCGCTTCCCTCAGGACCTAGTGCCCCCACGCTCACACACAACACGCATTACATTTATATACATATATATATATATATCAAAAAAAAGACATGTCGATAAATCAATCAAGGCATACATGTACATGTGTATATGCCCCAGCTGCGCAGGAGGAGGCGGAGGATCTCCTGGTGGCCGCCTCCAAGCTCGGCATCAGCGGGATGATGCGGCTGTGCAGTGACCGACGACGACGACGACCGTGGCAAGGACGACGACAACGATGACTGCGACGTCGACGGCGACGGCGAAGAGGTTGACGTCGACGACAGAGCACCGACAACGACGGCAAGGTCGGGGGCGAAGGCGACGGCGGCGACGAAGAGAACCAGGATGACGGCGGCGACGGCGACGGTGGCGACGGTGGCGACGGAGAGAACGAATACGGCAGCGGCGACGACGACGACGGCGAGGGCTACGGGAGCGACGTCGCCGCCGACGGCGGCGGCGGCGACGGCGAAGACGTCAAGGCGACCGCCTGCGCGACCAGTGGCTCACCGTGGCCAGCGCCGTGAGCCTGCTGCGGCTGGCGGACGAGCATGGCGCCAGCGCGCTGCGGTCGGAGGCGCCGCCGCCGCCGCCGCCGTTGCCGTCGCTGTCTTCGTCGTCGTCGTCGTCTTCGTCGTGATCTTTTCGCGTGCTTTCGTCGGCTCCTGTAGGCTTCCCTGCCTCGGGCTGCGCTCCGGCGCCCAGTGCCTCGCCGTGAGCGCCCCGGGGAGCTGCCGCCCAGATCTCAGAGCGCGAATTACCTACCCCGCTTTCGCTTCCAGGCAAAACCAAGTCATACCACGCGCCTCCTCGTCAAGCTGCCTGACCAGTACAGGCCGCAGTTTGGCATCGCTTGGTCTCTCTTGGAAGCGAGGGTGGTCAAAAGCGAGGCAGGTTTGTTTGCCCTCTCAGATCGTCCCCACACGGCCGCCGGAGGCCCGAGTTTCGGCCCGCAGGCCGAGGTCTGGGTCGTTGTGCTCACTGTCGTCGTCTCCGTCGCCCCCGCTCGGCGTCTCCGCCGTCCTCTCTCCCTCGTCGCTGCCGCCCCCGCCCCCGTCGTGCACTCGTCCTCGTCGTTGCCCCTGTCCTCGCCGCAGTCGTCCTCGTCCTCGTCGTGCTCGTGGTCGTCGTCGTCGTCGTCGTCCTCGTCGTTGTTGTCCTCGTCGTCGTCGTCGTCGTCGTCGTCGTCGTCGTCCTCGTCGTGCACTTGTCCTCGTCGTTGTCCCTGTCCTCGCCGCAGTCGTCCTCGTCCTCATCGTGCTCGTCGTCGTCGTCGTCGTCGTCCTCGCCGCCGTTGCCGTCCCGGCGTCGCCCGTGCCGGCGATGCGAGGCGCTGGCCGTCATCGGCGCCAACTTCGACCACGTGAAGGCCACGCCAGAGTGGGAGGATCGGGGGCCCCAAAAGTTGGGGCGCCGAGGTCGTCGGTCGAAACGGGCGCCCGGCGCCACCGGAGTCGCCAGTCTCCTGGGAGTGTTTGGCCGACCCCGGCCTCGGAGCCGGGCCGCCTCCCCCGCCGTCCTCCGGCTCGCGCCCGGGAGCCACTTCTGCGTGGCCGGCCCCACGTCTTCGACAGGGTCTTGGCTGACCTCGGGACGCCTGGGCAACTGCGATTAAGGCGGGCCTGTCCCGCTACAGGAGGAACATTCAAAAACAGGAAAGGGATGGTCTGGGGATGATTTTTGGACTGTTTTTGACCATTTGGGAGTATGTTTGGACTATCTTTCATTTTTCGTACACAGTCCCCCTGTAGGGGGATATGCCCGACCTAGAACTGCGATGCCAAACAGCAGTTCCTGCTCACTGTGAGCAGGGCCCGCCGCCCGCGCCGCCGAGGACGCTGTTATTTGAAGGCAAAGCGCCGCCTGCCCAACAGCGGCCGCTGCCGGTTCAGGACAACACTTGTTTGATGGTGTTCCAACCTACTTTAGCCTTGACCACCAGAAAGAATTTCGAGCACCAAGGAAGTACCGAAAATTGGAGGTGTTTCACCTGTCGGGCCTTGGGAGGCGATACTCTTTCGACACTGCCTCGACAGTTGTCTGGGTGCTCGAAATTATCTCTGGGATGCGGTCGTAAGTACGATGGGAACGACATAACACTTGTTTTTGGTCATCGTACCAATGTTTGTCCGTAGCCATCTCGGGCGTCCAAACATCCGTGGGCCCAGGTCAGCCCGTCCCCGACATTGGCCCACCAATGATCGCTGGCCGTTGAAAGTTTATGCCTCTGGAATGCTGGATCCTAAGATGCTTCAGGATGTGGAAGGATTGCATTCTGGCGGGCCGAACCGCAATCTACTCTGAGCACCCTCCTGCCACGTTTTGCGAGCGTGCGACGGATTGCGCCCCCACCTCCAGCGCACCCCCTGCAGTGTCGAAATTGCCACGCCTGCCACGCTTTGAGAGCGTACGACGGATAGCGACCGCACCCCAAACGCACCTCCTGCGCTTTCTGGAAACTGCCACGCCTGCCACGCCCTGCGAGCGTGCGACGGATAGCGACCGCACCCCCTGCGCAGCCTCCTCTGGTGTCGATGAGGTGCACGCCTGCCGCGCTTTGCGAGCGCGCAACGAATGGCGACCGCGCCCCTTGCGCATCCCTTTGCGGCATCGAGGAAGTGCCACGCATGATTTGCGAGCGTACGACGGATACCGACCGCGCCCCTTGTGCACCCCATGTGGCATCGAGACATCGCCAAGCTTGCCACGCTTTGCGAGCGTGCGGCGGATAACGACTTCACGCCCTGCGCACCACCCGATGGTGTCGATGAAGAGCGCGCCTGCCGCGCTGTGCGAGCGCACGACGGATAGCGACCAAGCCCCCAGCGCAATCCGTTGTGGCATCGAGAGGCTGCCACGCCTGCCGCGCTCTGCGATCGTGCGACGGATAGCGACCGCACCCCACGTGTGGCGCCCATAGAGCGCAAGAGTGCCACGCTCTGCGGGCGTGCGACGGACGGCGGCCGCACCCCGTGCGCCCGTGCGCACCCGCTGTACGGCATCGGGAAAGTGCCACGCACGCTTTACGAGCGTACGACGGACAGCGACCGCCCCCCCTGCGCACCCCATGCTTGGCATCGCTCGGACGTGTGCACGTTTCCTTCGGCGAGGGCCATCGAGGAGCATCTTTGATGATTTGGCGAAACAGCCACACACGAAACCGAAAAAAAACAGGGAATGGACGTCCGAGCGATGCCCAGCATGTGGCATCGACCAATTGCCACGTTTGCCACGCCCTGCAGGCGTGCGGCGGATAGCGACCGCACCCCCTGCGCACTCCACTGCGGTGTCGATACCGTGCACGCGTACCGCGCTCTGCGAGCGCACGACGGGCAGGGGCCGCACCCCAGGCGCACCCCCTTGCGACATCGAGAACAGAACCACGCTGTGAGATGCGCGTCTGTTGCGTGCGTGTCGTGTTTTTGTGTTGGGCGAATGTTGCGCGTATGTGTCCTGTGTATGATGCGTGTGTGTCTCATGTGGGTGCCCAGTATGTGGCGCATGCGTCGTGGGTGTCTGATATAGTGAACACGCCAGGCGTGCACTGGCGGTGTTCGTGTGTGTGTGTGTGTGTGTGTGTGTGTGCGTGCGCGCGTGCGTGCGTGCATGCGTGCGGCTGTATGTAGACGCGCGTCTCACGCACGCGCCGCGCATGTGTCGCGCGTGGGTGGGGGGGGGGGGAAGGACGAGGTGGAGAGGAGGAGGACGCAGCAGGGAAGAAAGGCAGCACTCATCATTCCACAAAACACGTGGGGAACAACTGTAGGGAAAGGGAGGGGGAGGTTGCACTGCAACTGTTGCGAGTCAGCGTAGAGGATGACGGAGCAGGATGTGACATCGTACCGCGACGTAACAATAAGTATGTGAGATTCTTCGGTAGCGCAATGTGTATCTTCGCGTTTTACTATCGCCGGGAAATCCCCGAGATAAGCTTCTCCACGCGAGGATTTGCAGAACCTCCCTGAATGATGTTGTACTGGAGATGTCCAGGTCCGAAATTTGTTCCAGAATCCCGTGTCCCTCGTCCCTCCCCTTCCCCGAATGGTATTACTAGCAGTGTTCCTGCTACTACGAAACCTACTGCTACTACTACTGTTTTGTACTACCACCACTACGGCGATTACTACTAGTACTACTGCTACTACTTCCTCCCCTGGTATTATTACTACTACTACTACGGCGACTACTACGACTACTATTATTACGACTACTACCAGTACTACTGTTACGATTACGACGGCGATTACTATTACTACGACTACGGCTGCAACGGCTACGACTACGACGACAAATATTACTACGCCTGCTACAGCGACGAAAACTACTACTGACACTACTTTGCACACTTACGGCTACTACCTCTACTATTATCGTTATTGCTGCTACTACTACTACTACTACTACTACTACTGCTGCTGCTATTACTCCTACTAATAACACTGATGCTACTTCTACTTATGTTATTGTTGTTTCATGTTATTGCTACGATTTGTTTCAACGACCACTACTGCCACTAATACCACGAACGCTGATACTACTACTACTACTACTACTACTACTACTACTACTACTTATTCTCATTTTGCTTGTTTTGACTCTTGCGACCGATGGTTTCACGATTATTCCTACAGCGGTCACTACTAGTAGTACTACTACTACGTACACTACTACTACTGCTACTACTACTGCAATCACTTCTAGTCCGATTACAACTGCTACTACCTTTGCATTAGTGTTACTCTTATGACGGCGGCTTGCGGCTACTTTTGTTACCAATCTTACTTCCACGACTACTACTACTACTACTACTACTACTACTACTACTACTACTACTACTGCGACTACCAGTATTACTATTTTCATCTTGTGCAGCTATCACTACGATCACTACGACTGCGGTTAGCAGCGATACTAGAACTATTGTTATTGATATCATTATTCGTACCACTAGTAACAATCGTATTACTACCACGTCTACCACTACTATTATTATTACGATCGCTATTACGGACATTCTTAGTACAAGGACCACTAGAACCACCCTCACTACGATTATCATTACTACTGTCACTACTACCACTACTACGACTATTTCTTCTAGTGTCACTTCTACGGCTATTACTACTACTGTCACTGCTGCGATTACGTTTCCTACGGTGTTTACTGCGACTACGATCATTAGAATTACCTACTACTACTACGGCTTCTACGCCTACGACGACTATGAGCACTGCACTACTATCGTGACGACGACGACTACTACTCTTATTATTGCTGCTTCTTTTGTTTTTACTGTCGGCACGACGACAACTAGTCCTGCTACGATCACCAATCGTATGATTATTCTTACTACTACTACTACTACTACTACTACTACTACTACTACTACTACTACTACTACTACTACTACTACTACTACTACTACGGTGGTTCCTATTATTATTAGTACTAGCAGTACGCCAATTCCCATCACTACGGTTACACCTGCATCCTGCTACTATCACTACCCGTACACCCTGCCACTACTATTTCGCTTATTCTTATTGCAAGTACATCTTGTACTCGCGCTTGCCATGGGCGATCTTTGTGTATCGCCGGGAAGTCCCCGATATGAGCTGTCTCACGCGAGGAATTGATTGCGCTTTTCATGGTAATTCGGTTTCTTGGGCATCCCTTGTCCCTCCTGCTTCCTCCACCGCCTACTGCTATTTGTATAACTAGTAGTAATAGCACGTAGTTGTACGACTACGCATGCTACTTTTTTTGCTGCTGCTTCTGCTGCTGCTGCAGCTACGACTGCTAGTCCAGTATTTGCAACATTGTTGGTATAGTTGTTAGTTTTGGTGCCATCCGTGTTATAACGGTAATTGCACGTGTCACTTACTATTAGTACTACGACTACGACTACGACTACGACTACTACTATTACTACTACTGCTACTACTACCACTACCACTGCTACTACTACTACTATTACGATTTCTACTACGACTACTACTACTACTACCACTACTACTACTACTACTACGGTGGCCAATACTACGACGACAATTATTACCACCTTTTATTTCGGCCACCGCTACTACTAACGGCACCATGACTACTACGACTACTGCTACTACTGTTATTTCTTTTGCTGCTAAGTGCTACTACTACTACTACTACTACTACTACTACTACTACTACTATTACTAGTAGTAGTAGTAGTAGTAGTAGTAGTAGTAGTAGTAGTAGTAGTAGTAGTAGTAGTAGTAGTAGTAGTAGTATTAGTAGTAGTAGTAGTAGGAGTACAGCTCCTGCGAGTAGTAGCTAGCATTTAAACTCCAACCATTGCGATTAGCAGTGCGTCCTACGCCTACCTTAACCCGTACATTTTACCACTACTAT